TTGTTTTATTGCTTTAAACGATGTATTGATTTGACGATATTTATTGCGTTGTGGTTGATTTCTAAAGTTAACCAGTGCTGTTTTATAATAAAATATCCGTTTGTTCATCATACACTGCGGACGATTGTTAGACAAACGCGAATTTCTGCGCATTGATTATCATCGGTCACCTCCTGCATATAGGGTACATTGTGAAAAGATCTAGAAAGTTCCTAGTAATACGTCATTGATTAAGCCACTGATCAGCAGCGTTCGTATATTATCAGATTACGTCGCGCAGCACCATCAAACTTACGACAAACGAAACAACTATGGAGAAAGTCGAACAAGGATTGCAGAGGGCAGAAGAGCGGTTGAAGGAGGCTGAAGCTAAGTTGGATGCTGCTAGGAATGAAACGGATAAAAAGTTCTGGCAGAAACGGGTGGAGTTGCGGGAAGAGGAAGTTAAAGAGTGGGGAGCAAAGCTCCGTGAAATGACTCAACCAGGTAACGACTTTGTGACTCGGGCGTTGGGGACATAGAGTAATGTGTACATGGTTGTAGTTGGGGACATAGAACTGACATAGAATCTGTAGATATCCAATATTCGTTGTGGTTTAATTAGATTTACGTTTTTCTGTCATCCATTGCATATCATTTATTCACTCATTTGACAATGTTGACTAACTTGTGTCTTCTTTTTTACCTGCCATTATTAATTCAGGTAAGAGGCGCAAAATAGAACTCAAGCAGATACTGGATGACCTCAAACCTGGTCAGGTCAATCAAGTCATTCGAAAAACTGCAACAAAGATGTTTTTGGATCGGAAGGCTGCATTAGAGGCAGCATATGAACTTTTGTCAAAAAATCGTTATGGGCGAGAGTCAAAGCAAACTCAGGATACCTACTTTGGGTTATGTTTCGGAGGTTGTGGGATTGGTAAGACAGAGTTGGTAGCACAATTCTGTACAAAAATGATTTTGGAGAATGGTAAGATTCTTGTCTTAGATTTGGATAAGGGAAAGCATGAGTTTAATAGAGATGCATGTATGGAAGATCAATGGCTTGGGTTAGCACTGGCAAGTGTGTACTATGGTGGAGAAACTGCAGGTTTATCTGCATTCATCAACATGCTACGACAAACATATGGTGAAGAATCATTAGCCTGTTTCAGTGATGCAAGTGAGGTGATTGAATTGATTATCAATCATTTCCGCAAACAGAAGAATATAGAGGGAACACTAACTCTTGTGGTATGGAAAGATGACTATCAGATTGAAATGGAACAATTCTCTAATCCACGACTCAACATAATTCAAAAGATTGGAGGATACAATCATGTGTCTACAGGGCAAAGCAAAGCTGCTGAACAAGATGTTATTCTTGTTCCTATTCTGTCTGGAACTTTTGGTGGGGATGTGAGAAAAACAATTGTTGGGAGCTGGTATTCTGCAAAAATTTTATCAACACCACCATTATCATTCAATTCTGCAGTTACTGTTTTAGGAATTTCCAAAAATGTCCTTGAGCAATCTCCATTCAAACTCCGCATCTTGATATCTGATATTGGTGAAGTAGCCCGACTACTTGTGGACTTAGGCCGCATGGGTGATTTTTCAAAACCTCTTGAAGAGCAGGACATTGATAGGTTAGGATCACAGATGGTCAACAGAGTTTCAGAATGTTATAGTATAGCTACCCCAAAAGGTAATCCAGTTTGTTGCCTGATGTTGCATTCAAAACCAGTTGATACTCAATTATTATTTACATTTATAGGTCAGCGTAGTATAACAGCTCTTCCAAAATCAGCTCTCAAGGAGCTTCTGAGACGTATTATTACTGGAACATCAATCTCTGAGGGCACTCAACTTCCAGAGACTGAAATGAGCTTCCTTGATCTTGATTGTTATGGAATTTTCCATTATACTCTTTTATCAAATGGTCGATTTTCCATGACAATGCCATATATTCTTTTATGGAAATTTAACAATGAAGTATTACTGTTACCACCTGATCTTCTTACCTTTCCTTGTCGGCAGTGGACCTGGCAAGATTTTGAGAAATTGGAAGCCTATTTGGAGACACTAAGGGCTGGACATGGTACAACAATCAAAGAGCAATTCCCCTATGCTTATGCAAATGCAGAAGTTTTGGAGTGGAAAATTGAACCTTGGCAACAAATGTCAGTTGAACAAGAGACAGCTCAATGTGTTCCAAAAAATGGCAAGGTTACTTGGGCAGACAAACATTTAATTAAAAAAGATGGAGATAGTTATTATGTTAAATCATCAGTGGTTTTTCTTTGTCATATGGGAAACCCTGTGATTGATTCTCATTCTTGCCATATGTCTGGATCTGGATCTGGATATATAGCATTGCTAAAGCAAACAAAGCATTCCATGCCAGCCTCAGAGGGCAAAGTAACTGCATCAGAACTGATCCGCTGGTATAATGAAGCAAACCAGAAATTTGATCGCCTCAATACCAAGTTCAATACAATAGGATTTATTTTTTTCACCAACCGCAATTTAAGTGATGAAGATCGTGAAAGGGCACTTACTAGGTGTCCCAATTTGATCATAATCTGTAGGGATAATCTGGAAAAGTATATTTCAAGTATCTTTATATGCAGGGGGCTGGTAGATGAGGAGTATGGAAACTAGTATACTAAAAAGAGCTGTTGCAAGAAAAATGTGGCTAAATGTTTACAAAATAATAAATAAATGATAAGTTTGCTTACCAATAAAAATTAATAAATATATCTCATTTTGCAGATGTTGTGCTTATTGTATAAATCCCATCAAAGTACCCCAGAATTGAGAAGTTGTTACTGATGAATCAGATAAGTAAGTCACATGATAAAATCTTCCCTGCAGTCTATGATCAATTTAATTTTGCCATAGTTACACAGTGCATTTCACTTTTTGTATCTCAATATCATATATTAATATGTAGTACATAGAACGTGCACTTCAATTTTTTTCTGTCACAGGCAATACAGTTGAACCCTGTTATACTGAAGGCATGGGGGGTCACCTATAGTTCATTATAACGAGAAATTCAGTAAAACGAACACTCCCTTTGTAATGAAGTCTAGCCTATGTCAGGTCCGACGATTAACGATAATAATCTTCCGTGATTTCCGCTCTGTAGTACGAACGATCTACGAGGGCTGCGGCATTCCAAATTCCGGTGTAACGAACGTAGTAGCTGCGGAATACGCCGATCGACCAATTAGGTAGTACTATAAATAGAATTTCTGAAGTTCAGAAGAATAATCCAAATTAGGATCACTAGGATTATTAATTCGTAATTAGTGTCACATAGTTGCTTAATGTGGCCAGAACTTCTGAAACGTGACATTACTTAATGTGGCCAAAAGTTCTGAAAACTTAGATATATAAGAGCAGCGTAGGCGACGGCAAAATATCATCGTTCAATTCATCGATCATATCTTCAGCTGGAAAGCTCTAAATTGATCTTACAAAATCCTTGCAATAGGATAGTCCTTTATATTCTAATAAACCGTGTTAAAACGCGAATCTATTTTATTTTATTCTTTCGTGTTAAATAATTCTCGTATATAAGATCTGACGCCGCGTAGTCTCGTAACTACCGAGATACAAAACGTATTCTCCGACGGCGTTCCTTCGGGTTATACTC